GTGTTAATTTACCAGGTGCTCTGTGGTGAAGGAAAATATCGTAAGGAAACCGGCATGTCTGAGAAATAATAAAAAAATATTTTAAATACATGTGAAGTCCGCCAACACGCAATGAGGCAGGCAGTGCGGTGGACACTTCATTACGCTAAAAACCCTCTCAGAAATGAGAGGAAGTCCGTGCCCAGCGGTAGGACGTATATTGTCTATAACTTAAAGGCATGTGCTGTAAAATGTTATTCATAACACAAATTAAACGGCAGAATCGGCAAGTGACACCCTAGACATAATTTTATCGACCAAATTGGCAATATATTAAAGATGGGTTAAATTAACGAGCACATAATATGCGTAAATATATGGATGTAAAAAAGCGAGAGAGGTGTGTGACGATGATATCTAATGAAAGTTCACAGTCTCTGCTCTATCTACCTCTACCTCCTCTACCTCTTCTGGGTGACAGACGTGAGAATTTATGTATATACATTTGCAAAATCTTTACAATACTCATGGCCACGAGGGTTTTAATTGATGTTCTTAGTGTCAAAGAGAGTGGTTTGATCAAAGCACGAACTCACACTCAGAAATGCGCTTATTACCGATAAAAAACGATTTAAGAGGACAGAAGAACAGAGAGAAAAATGACAAAATATGTACACAGCTCTAAAATAATCTCGTAATTTGTTGCAAAAATTTAATGTGATCAAAGTCCCGTGTCAAGCCAAAGGCGGTAATTTTGAATAAAATTGGTTATAGACTTCGATAAATATGTAATCCTAAGTTTTATTAACATTATTTTACGTACACAGTACACACGTAGAGGGTATTATAAAAATCTTGTAATATCCGATCTTATAAGTCTGAACCCGAGAAAAATATTTGTTGATGTTTCACTAAGTAACAACAATCGTAGGTATGAATATAAATTATAATATATTAATCTGTTTTTTTTTTACAAAAGTTAATGCACTATAATTTGTAATTGAACATAAGGCCATACTTGGTATACACAAAGCTTTTGTTCACATTAATATAGAATTACAAAATGTCATTTAGCATTCTCTACATTGATTTATATATTACACTAGATCAGTAATAACCGCGCCAAAGCGTTCCCACTGCACTTATGGCCACAGCCATATGCCTAGCCAACGTCAGTTCAGTGTTCAATGTGACTACGACAGAGTTGCGCCGCGACAAAAAATGAGTAAATGCGTAGTGAAAGAATGCTAATCATGGTCACAAAATGTAGTAAATCAAGCGGAATCACTTTCAACACATAATTATGTGATGAAAGTGATTCCGCTTTATGCGTTGAATTAAAGGCGATTGTGGAAGGTGATGATATTCAAACTACTGCTGAATTAGCAGCAGCTTTCAATGTTAGCATTAAAACAATATTGGTCCATTTGCGTCAAATTGGCAAGGTACAAAAGCTTGACAAATATGTGCCCCATGAACACAACGATCCAGCGTGTAGAGACGTGCCTTGCACTGCTCAACTGGCACACAAACGAAGGAACTTATAACGGCATTGTTACCTGCGGCGAAACGTGGATTCTGTTTGACAATTCCAAGGGCTCGGCAAGTTGGTTGGACTCTGGTTCAGCACCTAAACAATGTCCTAAACGAAAACTTACCCCTTGAATAGTGATGGTCACAGTTTGGTGGTCCAGCGCCAGTGTGATTCATCACAGCTTCTTACCAAACGGGATGAGCTTTACTGCAACTAAAAATACGGCCACAAAAACACCTTAAAAGTTGTTTTTTAATGTGCCTAGAACTAGAAACCCTACCATCAGAAAAAAATGGACAAATGCTATGAGAAAAGCACATATTTAGGACCAAACACGGTAGCATATTGTTGTGAGGATCATTTTGATGTAAGGATTCAAATAGTAATAACCTTCACATGATAGCTCTTGGTGGTATTGCTAGTAAATGCTTACTATTAGGCATGTAGGTACCTACCTACTCGAGTCGCAGTGTTTAAGTAACTAACGATTTATTGAACCTATCCACGCATAATGATCATAATTTCAAGAAGAAACAATACCTAATACCTACATATTTAACTAAAACTACTTCAGTGTAAATAAACATCCAAACTTGGGTAAAGTACTTACCTATGTAATGTAGATTAAGTCAATGACCTGTCGTGAGTTCGTAAGTTTAGATACCTACCTATGTTTGCAGCAAATTTTAAAATGTTTATAATGCATATAAAGGTTAAGATATGGAATATGTTAACAAACGTTTTTATATTTTTACGATATTTCGAGCAAAAACTAAACACATCGCAGAGCTGTTCAACCTGCATACTTTGCGGGCCGCAAATAATGGAAGAAGTTTGATTATGAAGTGGAGCACTTAAATATTTTTTTCGTGTTGTCCTATATTTATGTATTACATAGTTTATACGATATGATATTTTAAATATTGATGGAATACAAATTACGAGGTTCCTTATTTTTTTTATAGACTAAATAAGTTTGTATTTTGTTCTAGGTCGAAAACGATATGGAAAACTACGTGAAGTGCAAACTAGTTGGTGGTCCCCTCAAACTTAAAAAAGATGTTTTGCCTCACAAGTTTGCTTGTCAAAATCGGTATACAGAAAAACCACAAAGATGTTTACTATCAAAACGAAATGCCAAATCTAGGTCAGAAACAGTTGCACATGCGATTGCCACTACTTCACAGGAAATTGAGCATAGATATGATGTCGATCCTGTTACTACTCTAGATGATAATATTGATTGCCTGAAGAATATATAACTACGATTTTAATTATAATAATAATGCGACCCTTTTTCTATTAATATTGAAAACATCTGATTTTTAGATAAAATCATTTTTTTTACACCGAAGGTATATTTGTAGTAAATTTCTTTATAAACAACAGGAATATTTTTTAACCATAAAAAACATAAAAAGGTCAGGGTGTACTTAAGGAGAATAAGAAAAAAACTAGTTGGAGGCAGATAGTAAGTAGGTAGGTAAGGAATGTTTACGTATTTTTGTTATACCTATTCTTATCATTAGCAAATGAAATCCAGAAGTATTAATGTAATAATGGGTACCTAGGTTATAAAAATATTATCTTATTCTTATGCGTATTTCAGTCGCGACAAAATCTTTGTTTCTTAGAAAATATTCCGCCACCATCATATCGCACACCTAGATCTAAACAGCGATTAACTCAAAAAATCATTATTTTCAGAAAAGGTGATAAACTGATTACAGTGTCCCTGTGCCCCACAGGAGTTTTGTGAATGGATCAAATCTTTATAAATACAAATAGAGGAAAGATGTCATAATGAATCATGTATTTTAATCATAATTGAGTCTGAAAATTGGAGTTTTTTAGTTATTTCCGTATTGCTTAACAAATGTATTTATATATTTTTTTTATTTGGAGTTGAACCTGTGTTGGTGAATTAAGTTCCTAGTTGGCTCCCTTTTGAAGAGTCAATATTAATTTAAATATAGCAGTATTTAGAATTATATATTGGTTGATGACTTAGCAAGAAAACACTAAATTATGTAATCAAATCAAATTTTTTTATTAATAATATACCTATACCTAATATTTTATATAAAAATACAGCCTCTTATGACCCTTAATTACTTAGTAGGTTCAAATAAAATTATCATAATAAAATAGTAACACAACATAAACATAACGAGGAACCTTCCGTTCCATGAAATACTATTTTAAATACTCATCTAAAATCACATTTGACTTAATTAATTATGACATTTCTCTATTATCAACAAAAAAGCTAAACTATGCCTTTAAATACTAATAATGGCACTTAGAGATCATCATTAACAACAACAATTTTGGTTTTTTACTATTTATCAGAAAAAAATTTTTTTTGGTGCATATATTCTTAGTAGATAGTTAAGAATGCAAACACTTTAATAAGAATAAAGCAGTCAATTATCAGTATCACCCAAAACATATTTATAATAAACATCATAATAGGATTTCGGAATGACGTTCTTATCAATCAATTCTTTTATGTCTTTTTTTTTTGCATCAGACAATGCAACTTTTTCAGTGTATGCATGTGTTAAACCAATTGAAAATAACGATTGATCTATAGCTATGGCCGATCGGGATCCTCTTACGCGAAGAATCTTCTTTCGCACACAAACTTTCTTAAACGTTTCCTCTGTAAATGATGTTTTATAGAAAAACCCTTCAGGGTGATCTTTTTCAACCCTAAGAACCTTTAAGTCATGCCACTTGACTTGATTTCTCTCTTCGTCTGTATTGAAATTTGTGCCCCACGTTTCTTGCAAAGCTTTAACATCATAAAACTTGTCATGCGTCATTTCTACGACTATGTAAGGTTTTCCAGTCTTTTTTGCTGTACCAATCAACGTTTTATATTGCTCTGGTATATAGATTGGACCCGACTGCAAGTATCTTTTAATTTGTTTCTCAATGACACTATGGACTTTGTCACCTTCATTTTGTGAGTGCCCACGTATGAAAAACTTGTGAGTAATAGACTTGACTCTTACCTTGTTGACAGCGTAGGCATAGGCAGACAACAGAAACTTATTTTTTTGTTGACCGCCACAATTGTCCGAGTAGAAAATTATTTCAATTTATTAGGATTTTGGTCTACCTGAGCTTTAACGTAGTCGAGTATGCAGCTGCCAATTTCAATAGGTCCTCTCTTTCCTTCGGTTTCATCCCAAAAGTAGCACATAACTTCTTTTGCCCTTAAATCGCTGATGGTAAAATTGAAACAGTGATATTTGTCCCCTTGGAATCTGCAAAACTGCCTGCAAGTCGTAAACTGCTACGATAGTACCATCGGCCCCACTTTTATCATTATCTTTCTCAGTTTTTGCCAAAAACTTTTTCATTCTGATGCTGTACATACTCTTGGCTTAAGTTGCGTTTTTCTTCTGAGTCTGAATTATTATACCTTTCGCACAGATCGCATTGATCTTTTTTTGGTACGAAAAAAGAAATGTTGAATTCAGTGTTGAATATCCTGTGTGCTTGAGTATTGATATTTAGGTTTTATTTTTTGTGAGTGTCGCACTATAAATTCTCTCTGCCTTTCAAGATTGCCGATTCCCCAAAATGCATCAAAAAGCTGTTGCCTTGATATTTCATTGATCTTATCTTTACATTTTAGCCGACATTTTTCTCCACAGGGGAGGCTGACTTTTCTCTCTGGAACTTGTAATTTTGATTTTGACATAGACTGGTAGGCTTTGCCAGAATTTCTCAGCACTTTCGCAATTTTCGATTTCCACATCGTTGGTTTTCGTATCCTCTTTTTACCCTTTTTTTCTTCTATAACGAGCTCTTGGGAATTAATTTCAGCTACCTTAGTATTCTGAGGGTCAAGCTGTAAATGCGCACTATCATCTTCGGTGTCCGACAAGCTATTAGAACGTGATGAGCTCTTAGATCTACTATTGCTGGTGCTGGACGAAGACAGTAATGAACCAAAAGGAACGATCTTAAAAAGTGTCTTACTTTTATTAATCAATTGGAAACTGGGATCCTCACCTGAGTCATCAAAGTCACTTTGGTCACTTTGGATTGGTGAAATATAATAATGTGGTGTACTAGTCTGCTGTTGTTTAGATGTGCTCGGAATAGATTTATCATCCACGGATAAGGCTGCATGAGTTTCGTTAGATGAATCTTCATCACTTAATGACATCTCGCGGTCATCTTCTAGCTGTGACCTGTTCACTACTACCGTCTCCTTTTGTATTATTGGTTCAAACTCCTGTCTAGTATCTGGTTGGGTTAGTAAGTTAGGGCTGATGTTTTCTTTGTCCCTTTCTTCAACCATGTTTACTAAAAACCGTCCACGATTCATTATTTTTCTGAAATAGTAAAAGAAAACAAATAAACCATCTAAACAGCTCTAACTTAAAAACTGTTCAGTAAAAACACAACAAACTGTGTAGTTACTAGGATAAAAATAAAATATTATTAAGATGAGCAGACTCCAATCACCACTGGCAAAAAAGTTCAATTTCATTTGTTTTCTAAAGAAATATACGAATTTAAAAAATGACTCAACAAAACAGGCTTAACAACAAATTCAAAAAATTTATAACAACATGGTAACAGTTCAAAATAAAAACAAAAACATTGCCTACCTTACTATCAACACTGATTCAACTCAAAATGTGGCTTTTATTTACTCAGCACTAACCATAAAAACAGCGACAACTCAAGATAATGTTAAGTCAAAACCTTTGTTAAACTCAAGAACACGGAATCAACTCAAAATAACTCCGATTTGTTTACAACGTGCACGTGCGTTCCGTATAAAATACTGGTTACAACTAGCGATGTCCCCGTTTTAGTGGGGGAAAGCGTGGCTCGCTCGTTCAACAAAATGTGCTTTTAACATCATCTAGCGTTGAGTAATGGAACTATTTTTGAATCTGTTTTATTGGGTGCTCGGTAGTGAGTTATTTAATTCGATGGAATGCGTAACTCAAAAAATGAGATTTTTGAATTAGCTCTCTTTAGATCTAGGTGTGCGATATTACGGACTATTGGAAGTTTGTCAGATTGACCCTTTTGAAACCCTTCTTCCATCATTAAATACTTAAAAACACCAGAGCACCAGAGCGCACGAGGGCAAACGACTCACCCGCGAAATATTACTACAAACGTATGATCGGCGCGCTGGAACGGTATGGCGGCGCGGCCGCATGGAATCGATGACGTCACGCGCTACTCGCGGGCACGGGCGAGATTTTAAAAATCTACGTAAACTTTCCACGCTTATAACTTCGGTAATAGTGCACCGATCGATGTAAAATAACAACTAGAATTATGTGTTTCGTCTAGACTTTTTACCTACGTACTTAAAAGTCTAATATTGTAACCTTGTTATCTTCTCCATTAACTGCAGCTTAAAAGAACTCATTTTTATTGCGTATTTTAGGTAAAATTTTATATAGAAGCTACACCAACCCGCCATTGCATGTTTGTGTGTCTATCTTTATTTAATCTTAGCGACGATATTGTTTTCGCAACTAGTGTAAGTGAGATATATATGTTTATTTAAGATTGTTATTAGTTTCAAAGCTACGTCGTCACGTTTGGATAGTGGTTACACTTTTTTCGACGCGCGGTAATATGGTTTGCTCCTCTAGTGTTGTATAAATTAATGATTCTCTACCAGTAAAGGGTGTTGCCAGGGGGGGGGGCAGGAAGGGACCGCTGCCTCCCCCCTAGAGACTCAAAAAAATGTAGTCAAAAACAAAGCAACCAGTCTTATTTATTATACAGTCAAGAGCTCGTGGAACTTTACACATTGGAATTTGTACTGTTCTTATTACAATCGCTGTAGAGGTACTTGGTACTATTATTTATTCTGTGGTAGAGATAAGACTCGCAATTATAGTCTAAAGCTTCATTTGCTCTTTTACCTACATTTTCCTATCCTCTTTATGTATGTACTTGCCCAACCTCCCTTGGGCCATCGGCTGGCGACGTCCTTGCTATCAGTCAACCAAGAATACTAACTAGGCTCAGCGGGTGCGGCGGAGTGTGTGCAGAACGCGGCTCGTGCAACAGCGCCCGTAGATGTGCGATATATGAGGCCGCAAGTCGCAGCGTGTCCAGCTTTGACAGCTTCGTATCCGCTGGCACCCATGGCAATGTTGTTTTCAACCTGGATAATGGGTAAAATTGTATAACATACTTTAACATATAAATTCTCTTGAGCGGTGACGGCCCTTTAGTCCGGCAACGTGAAAATAAATTGTGCAAGCCAAACCTAACCCTCGTGGCCCTGATTCTGAACAATCTTCATTAATATTACGTCATAATAATCAGTAACTCTAGGTAGCAGCAGTCCAGTAAAAGACAGAAGTCTCTTTAAAGTAGGAGAGACTTATGATAAGGGTCGCTTAACAGAGCAGGGAACGCAAATGCTAATTTTGCATAGAGATGAAAGCACTTTTTTAATTATTAGCTTAATTTTTTGTACGTATATATGTTAGTAATGTAACTTTATCATTCAGTTTTCACCTAGATAATACCAGGTCAAACGTATTCGTATCATTAATAGACCTGTTACACGACAAAAAACTCATCACCTGCAAGTTTATTCTACAACCCTTAACTGAAAATCAAATTATGTTTACTTTGCTTTGTATACACCATATAAAGATATATTTATTGTTTAGTATTCGCCCCTTTAAAGGATAATGTTAAAGAATGATCAGCGGCAAAGAAAAACATCGATTAACTGCCAAACATCGTCTCAGAAATGTTGTCCAGCAGTGAAGTATTTAGGCTGTAATTTTACTTTTTTATTTTTGACAATCTTTAACAGAAAAACCAAATTAAAGATTTTGATCCGACCCGGAATTCAAACCCCGAATTTCATAATTACCAGACGCGATTACGATCACTAGGCGGGCTTTTTAATTGTGCTAAACAGTTAACTAAATGGGGCTCTTACATAGAAAAGAAGATCTGCCGTAGTTGCCATGATTGGCAGGGGGATTAGAATTTGGAGTACCAGATCTCTCGCACCTTTAACGCTGCTTCCCGTCGCCGGTCTGCGTGTTGCCATCTAGCATAACCATGACGATATACCGCCACTAGTACTTACGGGCATACTCCTAAATCGCCTCTTATAAAACCCATGCGTAAAAGAGCGAGATAAGAAGATGGATCCCCTTACTAAGTCACACTGCTAACTCATAATTAAAACAAACTAAAACCACGTTGTTGAGCATGGTTTTGGATGGTTTCGGCGTAACTTGAATTTTACGTAGGGTTTTGTCTATCTTTGTTACTCTGAGGTTACATCATCCAGTGGATACCAAAACTTTCTATCAATTGTGTTGGTATCCACAAGAACTTAGCGCTACAACTTGCGCTGAACTTCCAAAGCCTGTAATTTTATACGTCTGTAATTTTAAATGACGTCTGAGTCAGGATCGGGTAAATCGGAAAGGTTTTTCACGATATTTTCTAACTCCCGAAGCCCTATCTGTTTTTCCCATTAATGGTCTTCGAATAGCAGAAATAAATGACAACGTGCTTTTTTATATAGAATAGGGTGACATACGAACCCACAGTCCACCTGACGGTAAGTGGATGCTGCGGCCCACAGACATCTATAGGATGTATGTTGTATGTATCTATAATATATGTAATTGTATTATACAAGGTGTAAGTGTAAACACCATTGTCACTAAAACCATAGGTAGTTGGCCTTAGTATAAAAATATTTATACGAATTTAAAAAAAAACGCTATTTTCTTTCATAAAATTTAAAAAGTTTCTGTCCGACACCGTCCGAAAATTCATGGATGCTCTATGCGCCCGAGTGATGTAATCACTGTAAAGATCATCGTCCGTGCTACACAACATTCCAATAAAAACACAATAGGTATACATAACCTGTGATGTAGCTTATCCCTCATACTTTCATCCTGGCTTAGGACAGGCAAAAATTGAGGAATTAAGGAAAAATCTCGAAACTCTTCACCGCTGCATTGGAAGACGTTTTCAAGCGAGTACATCACTCACCTTCGATTTGCCGACGATATAGTGCTTATGACAGAATCGCTGGAGGACTTAAGCACTATGCTCAATGACCTCAATAGTGCCTCCCAACGGATAGGTCTTAAGATGAACATGGACAAAACAAAGATCATGTTTAATGTCCATGTCACACCTATGCCGGTAGTTGTTGGTAGCACTAAGCTCGAAGTAGTTGACGAGTACGTTTACCTGGGACAAATATTCCGGCTAGGTAAGTCCAACTTCCACCGAGAGGTCAATCGGCGGATTCAACTCGGCTGGGCAGCGTTCGGGAAATTACAACGCATCTTCTCGTCAGGTATACCTCAAAACCTGAAAACTAAGTTGTACAACCAGTGCGTGTTGCCAGTGATGACATATGGAACTGAGACGTGGTCCTTCACTGCTGGCCGTATGAGGACACTCAAAGTCACTCAGCGAGCTATGGAGAGGGCTATGCTCGGAGTTTCTCTGCGTGATAAACTTAGAAATGAGGATATCCGCAGTAGAACCAGAGTGACCGACATAGCCCAACGGATTAGTAAGCTGAAGTGGGAATGGGCCGGCCATATAGCTCGAAGAACCGACAACCGTTGGGGAAAAAAGGTTCTCGAGTGGCAGCCTCGTACCGGTAGACGAAGTGTGGGGCGACCCCCCACTAGATGGAGTGACGACCTGGTAAGACATGCAGGAAGTCGATGGTTGCAGGTGGCTCAGGACCGTGCTTTGTGGCATACCTTGGGGGAGGCCTATGTTCAGCAGTGGACTCGTAAAGGGCTGTAATGATGATGATGATGAAGGAAAAATTGAGATTTTACTAAAAAAATGTTGTTATTTTTCATTGAATTTACGTTCTATAAGTGAAACCAAACCACTGGTTTCAAGGATTACGGTGTTTACACTAACAACCTGTATATGACTTATTATTAATAAAATTATATATATTTTCAGTTGCATAATAAAATTACATACAGGATTATTTTTCAAAAAGTAGCCAAATTTTAAACTTAAGTTCAAATAGACAAATACGGTATATTGTTACCGGTATTGCAGTTTTGAAATTACGAGCAAATAAGGCTTCTGGTTTTAATTGTAATTATACCAAACTGAGTGTGATTTTTAGTCAACAACGTTTTTGCCTACCAATTGACCCTTGCGAATGTTTGCGTGCGCAGTAAAATCTGTTAAAATAATGAATTACCACGCATTTTGAATTTAAAAGATAAAAAGGATTTTATTTAAATTAATTAATAATCTTTTTCTTCGCCTTTTGTCCATATTACTTTCTGAAACTTCTCTGCAAATTTGGCCGCTTATTGCAAAATACCCCGTATATTGAATACACCTATACCTGCAAAACGCTTTAGAGAGAACTCGCATCCTTGCTCGTTCCCTGGCATTAGCTGCGTTTCTGTGTTGCGGCTCGTGTGAACTTCTTCCTGCACAAGTAAGATACAATATAACAGGTATATACGCAATTTGCCTTCCTCTACTTTATGAACAAATGAAAGATTCAATCTTTAGTCATTCGTTTCAAAACCATCTATGACCTCAGGACCTGCTTTAATTCATTTTATAGTTTATGTAATAGCGACGCAAGCAAAGACATCTATAAAACACAATTGAACTCACTGGCTTGTACGTACCTATATTTTTATATATTTAAGATGCCAAACTAGCACATATAGATAACTCTACTACTTAAAACGGATGCTATATGACTGAGACCCTCAATATCCCAGTGGAACAAGAGTAACCGACATAGCCCAATGGATTAGTAAGTTGACTTCAGCTGCCGGCCTGACATGCATTTTAAAAACCGACAGCCGATTTTGAGAAAGGTTCTTGAGTGACAGCCTCGTACCTGTAGGCGAAGTATAGGGTGGCCCCCCACAATTTGCAGTGATAACATGGTAAGACATGCAGGTGGCTTAGGACCGTTTCCTTGGAAGAGGCCTATGTTCAGCAGTGGACTTGTGAAGGGCTGTAATGATGATGATAAATGATCATTATATACTTTGTTTAAAAATTCCTTTTATACATTGCGAAGTTTTTATGCGATTTTGACAGTTTTAGCGAGCAGACAATCGATGACGATTTTAGCGTCTCAAGACGACTAAGCAGACACACATTATTTGAGACTCGCATCACGATTTGTTCAACGGAGTCCTTTTTTATATAGGATACGGTGACAAACGAGCACACAGTCCACTTGATGGTAAGTGGTTGCTGTGGCCCTATAGACACCTACATGTATCCTCGATTACAAATCAAAATGCAGATGCGTTGTCACCCGTGAGGACTAAGATGGAATACCTCATTTCCTGTAAAAGGGGGCTCCGGTTCTCTACACTCATCATATGAAATACAGCAGCATTAGGCTACTATTTTACGCTGGTATTCTGTGAGAGCGTGGTCCTTCCCCGGTAGAGCCGACCCATTCGTGCTACAACCACAATATAGCTGCAGCGTGGCTCTACCACGTATAATTATGCCCTTGTTACATCGTTTCCACTTTAAGCCATTATTTAAACATTTAAATTATAAAAATGTAATACAGCAGCAGTAATCCGCCGGGGGTTTAGTCCCGCGAATAATCTACGAGTAGTTTCCGTCACGATGTGTTCTTTTACAGCCAAAAACATGATAAAAGCAAAGATAAACAATCTTAGTAATGCCGTTACCGGGAATGGAAGTCTGGGTGCTCAACGAATATGAAATGTCAAGAGAGCGCCCCGCGCCTACATTATCACAGCATATCATAACGGCCATAAAATTCGACGTCATTTTAATAGATGGTTAAAGTCAAAGGCCAAGTATAGAGATTTTTTAAACTTTAATAAAGTAAGCGATTTTAAGTTAGCCCGTGAATGTTTATTATAACATCAAATTATAATGGTGTACTATATTATATTTTTGTAAAAATAAGTGAAATTCGTTCTGTAAATACTAGGAACAGACACAAGCTAGTAGTACCAGTTACTCGACTCCAAAAAGTCTTGGCACAATATATACGCATTTACAACAAAATCCCAGAAAATATACAAAATTTGACATACATACACAAAGTTTAAAAACTATATTAAAATAAGTTTGTATAAAAAGGGTTATTATAATATTAAGAAATTTATGGATGATAATAACCCCTGGAAAGGGTGATCGCTACCAAGCTATTTCTAATTTGTTTTGTGTTATTATTTGTACCATACATGATTGTAAGCTATTATTTGAAAAAAAAAATTGTTCCGCTGGGTTTCTTGCTGGTTCTTCCCAGTACAGAGGTGTTTTTTACGAGCCAGTGGTAAATGAAAAAAGTGACTTTCAATAAGTATTGTTATAATCTATATTGAATTGAAGTTTCTGTTTCAAACATGATTAGTTAAAAAGATAAATTACCTGAACTAGACTGGGTATCGTCAAACAAAAAATCGTCGTCGTCACAATCATCTGATCTCTTCTCAACAGGCGGAGATTTGTTAACACGTTTTCTAGGCATTTTTAAAATCTATTGCACGGATCTAACACTATGAGTATCCACTACACTGCCCCTCATGTTAAGACTTTTATGTTAGAAATTTAAAACCGATGTTTTCTTTTAGAGGGTTGTTTCCGCGCCCTCTTGTCGGTAAGCGTGACGTTTATCATTTGAGATGCGCGAGCGCAAGGCGGGCGGCTCGCGGTTATTGGGCGGCGCCTGCATACGCCCCTCCCGGGTCACTTCCAGGATTATCCCTCCACAAATGAGAGACTCTCCTTTGATTGAGTTATATAAGGTGCTTTTTATATTATACTTAATAAACATTATCAAATAAAACTACTAAAGAACGAAAAGAGCACTGAATATTATCCCGCTGTAGAATATATCTTACCGTCTGGTGTGCCGCAGGTTCGTAAGAAGAGGCAATCCTTTTAAAAACAAACTAAAAAAATATAATACTTCGTTTATAATTACTATGATTTAGTAAGGACCGCAACTAAGGTTATAATGAAGGTTTAATCCAAATTTGATTTGAGAGATTTCTCAATCAGCTGATTTTGCTGCCCATATAGATGGTATTTTGCTTTAATTTCTACTTCACAAAGGTCCATAACAGCGTAATGGTGGTGTAAGAATATCCACTCATATCTCCCCGTGGGTGTCGTCAGAGGCTGCAGCCCATCTCCTGGTTTGTTATCCAAACCAAGAGATGAGCAGCAGCGTCTTCTTTATAACAACTACACTATAAAAACAGTGACTGCCAAGCCGCCTGAGAAGCGTGACAGCTATGGCAAATATTCCCTTTACGAGATAACTATGACGAAGAATCTCTTCAGTAGTGGAATTTGATAGGTTGTGATGAGTAAAACTTAATTAATGAAAGAAATCGATAAAAAATATTTTTTATAATTACGCAAATTTTAATTCATTGCAACATTTTATCCTATAATAGCTGTTCCCCGCGACTTCCGCGCGTGAAACGTTTGGGTTTTAATGTATTTGCGCAGAACCCTAATTATTTTTCTGAAATGAAAAAAGCCTAAGTTACTCCTTATTATGTCAGTTATCTGTCAGTGAAAGTCTCGTCAAAATCGGTCCAGCTGTTTCATAGATTAGCCAGAACAAACTTACGAACAACAAGACAGACAAAATTTTAAAAAATATATTTTGGTTATTACCTTACATACTTTTGGTTAGCACCTTATATACTCACATATACATTTAGTAAAATGCTGTTATTTTGATATTACAAACGGAAAATTCAAGTTTATTTTTTTGTATAGATTTTTTATAATTAAATATAATTTTCACAGTAAACAAACATTTTACAGGTTGTATGGCATGAACGAACCTATCTGTTTTTTTTTTTGTGTAAACTGAGTGAGAAGCAATTAGAGATGTCAGTGTGAAACAAAAAGATTGACAGGGTGCTCAGGAGCGGGCGGGTCGCGCTTCCGCTGACATACAATACTTTATCAACAACTCTACACGTGCTATGCACTCACAACTTTACAGCTCGGAATTTTAAAACTATACCTCTTTAAAGAAATTGTTATAATTATTCATACAGTTACTTATGTGTTAGAGCCATGCTGCAGCTATATTAGTATCTAGAACACATAGAATAGGTAGATAGGTAGGTCGGCTCGACCGGGGAAGGACCACGCTCTCGCAGAATACCAGCAAAAAAATAGCTGCTTAATACTGCTGTGTTTCATATGTGAGTCTGGAGAACCGGTGAATCTTTTTACTGGAAACGAGTCCTTCCATCCTAGTTCTCACGCGTAGTAGGGTAGTCTCACAACGCATCTGCATTTTGATTCGTGATCGAGGATAGATGTACCTAGATGTCTATGGGCCACTGCAACCAACTACCTTTTTTTTAACATGGGGAAATGCCTACGCATACCCGCCTCGCGGGGACAAGGACGGGTTATGTCGGACTCGCACCGGCTAAAACCCCATGGTGTTCCATCTTCGTCGCATATTGGCAGGGCTACGGGAACGCTTTCGCACACTTCCGTGGCCCTACCAGCGACTGCCGCCCCATGGCAGCACCTCCTCGGGAGAGGAATATTGCTCCCCGTTCTCCTTCCCAAGTAAGGCGCACCAGAACACATGGCACGCCTTCTTCCACGGCCTCCAATTGCATCTGCGCAAAAGACGCCCCCGCGTCCGATGCGCGAAGGCCATGAGGCCAGGAAAAACGAGCACTTAGAAGTACTAGCCTTCCCGACCCCAGCGGCGGATCTGGTCTATGGCTCCGCCGCCAACCAAGATTCGGCTGCGGAGGATAGGGAGAGCGGCGCCTCGCAATACCGACAATCCTCTCCCCCCGCAGCCCCATCACCACCGCATCAACGGTGCGGCCCCGTTTGAGTCGCGGAGGATAGGGCGAGTGGCGCATCGCCATACCAACACTCCTCTTCCTCCGCGACTCCACCTCGGCTGCAGCGGTAGAGGGTGCGGAGTCCCCACTCGCTGCAGTCCACCAGCACACATCCGAAATGGGCTCCCCAAGCCCACTTGGAGTGGCCACCTCAGGCCGGCCCTTCACCTCGGGCCAGCCACGTGGGTTCCTCTTTGTTCACCGTGGGAGACCAAGCCACGGCTGTGTGCTCGTTTGCCTTTCTTATGCTATATAAAAAATTGGTAGACCCTGTAGGCCATTCCTATAACTTCCCGCTAATTTCAATATTAAAGCTCTCTAAATTCCACTTATTTATGACATTTTATTAATTTTAGAAATCCACTTTTTTTTTTTCAAAATTTAATATTTCACGAACAAATCAATCGATTTTAATGTGATTTACAGCAATCGACGCATTTTTTTTTAGCCTAACAAAAAAAGTTTATTACAAAAAATTGATTTCACGGAAAGTTTTCAAGCCCTATCTCTCGAATGAATCGACTGATTTTAATGCGGACGTCGCTGTTTGATCAGAACAGCTGATTAAAACAAGGATAATAGAATTGATTAAAACAAGGGTGTCGAAGTAAATCCAAAAAAAACTACTTTTTGGAAATTAAAAATACTTGAATTATTAAGGTTTTCTCAGAATCAACCGTGACGATTCGGTCTAAATTCACAGAAAATCAGTTACTCTCTTTCAGAGAATAAGTTCAGTTACTCTCTTTCAGATGCTATAAGCAGGAGTGTTACCAAGCCTGGGCTGATGCATCAGCGTCCAGGGATGTAAACACCAGCGCTCTAAAAAAGAAGTATAATTCCGCCTCTAGGTCCTTCAAAAGAGTCATTGCCAAGGCAAAGTCAGAGCACATAGGCAGAATTGGCGAGAAATTAGTTCGCCTTCCTTCTGGAACCCGTGCATTCTGGTCTCTCACCAAGGCTGTCCAGGGGAATTTCTGTCAGCCATCTCTTCCATCTCTGCACAGGGAGGACGACTCACTGGCCCATACCGCAAAGGAGAAAGCCGATCTTCTAGGCTCTTTCTTTGCGTCTAACTCGACTCTCGATGACGGGGGGAGTACTCCGCCGACCATCACGCGGTGTGAGTGCTCCATGCCGGAAGTGCACTTCACACAGCGCTCGGTTCGCAAAGCACTCCACTCCCTGGACATCCACAAGTCGAGTGGGCCTGACGGAATCCCCCCAATTGTGCTGAGGACGTGTGCTTAACGCGTCTTTTCCGGTACTCCTACTCCCTAGGCATAGTCCCAAAATCATGGAAGATGGCTTACGTCCACCCGATCCCTAAAAAAGGCGACCGCTCTGACCCGTCCAACTACCGGCCAATCGCCATCACCTCCTTGTTCTCCAAAACAATGGAGTCCATTGTAAACTGCCAGCTCATGAGGTACCTTGAAGATCACCAGCTGATTAGTGACCGCCAATACGGTTTTCGCCGTGGTCGGTCAGCTGGTGATCTTCTGGTCTACCTAACTCACAGATGGGCGGAGGCAGTAGAGTTCAAGGGGGAGGCATTGGCCGTTAGTTTGGACATTGCGAAGGCCTTCGATCGGGTTTGGCACAAAGCGCTTCTTTCGAAGCTCCCTTCCTATGGGCTTCCCGAGAAATTGTGCGATTGGATCACCAGCTTTCTTGCAGATCGGAGCATCAAGGTCGTTGTAGACGGTGCAAGCTCCGATTGCAAGCCTATTAATGCTGGTGTTCCACAGGGCTGCGTGCTATCGCCAACGCTGTTTCTTCTGCATATCAATGACATGTTGCATTCCCCGTAACATTCATTGCTATGCAGATGACAGCACTGGTGATGCTCTTTACACCGGCCGAGCCAATATTTCTCGGGAAATCGTCTCCGAGTGCCGGGACAAACTTGTGTCTGAAGTCGAGTCTCAGCTGGACAGAGTCTCGGATTGGGGGCGACTAAATCTAGTCCAGTTTAACCCCCAGAAGACACAAGTTTGCGCGTTAACCGCTAAAAAGAACTCCTTTGTCGTATCCCCTCAGTTTCAAGGCACTCCCCTTGTTGCCTCAGCCAGTATCGGAATCCTCGGCGTCGACATATCGAGTGACGTGCAGTTTCGTGGTCACTTGGAAGGGAAGGCCAAATTGGCCTCTAAAAAGCTTGGCGTGCTCAGCAGAGCGGGACAGTATTTCATGCCGGCACACCGCCTGCAACTTTATAAGGCGCAGGTTCGGCCGCACATGGAATACTGTTCCCATCTCTGGGCTGGGGCTCCCCAGTACCAGCTTCTTCCACTTGACCGCATCCAGCGCAGAGCGGCTCGAATCGTCGACGACCGAGTGCTTTCCGATCGGCGCAATTCACTGGCGCTGCGAAGAGATGTTGCATCTCTTTGCGTATTTTATCGCATCTATCACGGGGAGTGCTCTGAGGAATTGTTCGGATTAATCCCAGCCGCCAAATTTCGTGAACGCACTACACGTCAAACGTCCCGATACCATCCACACCATCTGGATGCTTGGCGGTCCACCACTGTACGTTTCACAAGGAGTTTTCTTCCACGTACAACCTCTCTGTGGAATAGTTTAACACCGGCGATTTTTCCGGACCGATACGACCTGGGGACCT